TTCCAGCATCTCTTATCTTGCGTGGAGGACAGCTTTTATGTATGATTTCATCCCGTAAAGACATGCGAAGATAACGTTCCTTCTGTGGCAGAGGATAAGCAGTGACTTTGTCTGTAAACTTTACACATAAATGCCACCCATCTCAGTTCCTTTTCTAAGGTACTTAGATGGTACAACAAAGCACCAGATACTCACAAGTGAAGAAAAGGTTCATCGTAGCTCACAGTTGTAGAAGTTTCAGTCCATAGTCAGCTGGTTCCAATGCAGGGTGGCGTGGCAGGAGAGAAACAGTTCATAGCAGGACAGGCGGGGGGCCTTTTCCTTTAAATTCCATTCAGGCTACACGTTTATTGGGTGGCACCACCCATGCCCAGGGTGGACTCCCCATTATGCACACCCAGAACTGTGCTAAACCAGGAAGTAAACTAATGTAGTTATCACACGCCCTTAATCCATATTCATATATCCGAGATCCAGCCACCTCCTACAAGCCCTCTCTATGAGTGCATGAGGCTTTGGCGGGACATCTCGATACAAGCCGTGGACACCATCCCTTGGAGGACTTTTTCAAAATTCTCTTGCTCTGTTTTTCATTCTGTTGGCCTCACCTGCTTAGGACACTATAGTTTGAAAACCCTTGGTGTATGTTAGATAAGCTGTCACTTTGTTCTCCAGAAGACGTTACCCATTGTTCCTACGATATAGGAAAAAGGTAATGGGAGTTTCCAGAGACCCCATGCAGGGGTCCCGGCCTCCTGCAAGGCAGTACGATGTCCGTGAGATCACAAAGTGGGAAATAAAAGAAACACTGAGACAGAGTCTTGGGAGAAACTGCGTCTTGGGCTGATCGCGGCTGCTCTGGGCAGTAAAGACAAAGGATCCCAGGACATCCCAGGTTTATTCATTACAAGTGTGGGAAGCGGGGAGGCCCGGCAGGCCTCGGGACACCTGCTGATAACAAGTATCAAGCAGGCAGGACTGCAGAACCGGGACATAAACATATCATTGCAGAGGAAAACAAATGGTTAATTCAGAGGGGAAGAGTATGTAGCTGGAGTCGGTCGACCTTGGCTAGAAGTGAACTTGACTGAGCCCTGCTACTTCCCAGACTAGGATTTAAGTCTCGGCAGCAGGCATTAGCAAAGGAGCAATAGTAGCCCACTCTGCTATCTGACGTGCCCATTTGAGTCATGTAAGCTTTGGTCAGACTCTTGAAATAATACACAGCCAAAGGGCCGGGGATTTAGCTCAGTGGTTCCACTGCCTGCCTCGCATGTGCAAGGTCCCGAGTTTGATCCCCGGTACCAAAAAAAAAAAAAAAAAAAAAAAAACAAACCCCCCAAAAACCCCACAGCCAAATGGTAGAGGGGCAAGAAGCTTGTGCCATTATAGCCTGCTGACAGTGGGCAGAGGGTCTGCTACACTATGAGGTATAGAGAAGTAGCTCTTCGTTACTTTTAAAAACTGTTTTGGAGGTTCCGCCACCTGCCTCGCCAGCGCAAGGACCCGAGTTTGATCCCTGGTACCAAAAGACAAAACAAAACAAAAAAAACCTGTCTGTGAGATTTATGGAATTTTATGAGATACTACATGTGAGAAGTGACGTATTTGGTATTGAGTTTATTCTAAGAGTGCTGCTCTTAGGGTTGAGATCTAGAATATCTTCCCAAAGGCTCATGTGTTCGGAGGTTAAGTTTTTGAAAGGCAGCTGGGTCATGGGTTGCTGTACTCCTCACTGGGTTAATCTACTACCTGAGTCTAGAATTCATTTTATTTTTTTATCCCTTTCCCCTCCTCAAGCCCCCTGCCTTCCCTACGTACAAAAGCTTTGTTTCCGATTTTTCCTTCTATTTTTCACTTCTTCTCCTGTCTCTTCCTCCCTTCCTCCCCCTTGTTCCCCGTCCCTTTGAACACTTTCCCATTTCCCAACATCCATGATACATTTCAGTCCTTATTTCCACTTTCAGTTTCTCACACCAGAGAAACACTGTGCTATTTAAACACGTGTTCGACTTATTTCACTTGGGAGTATGATGTTACGGTCCATCTGTTTAGCTAGTGTGTGTGTGTGTGTGTGTGTGTGTTTGTGTGTGATTGAACTTTGGGTCTTGAAAATGCTAGCCAAGCACCTTACCTCTACACTGTATCCCTAGCCCCCAGTAATTTTATCTTATTAGGATTGTGAAATATATTTCCTTAGTCATATTTAGTAGTTGTTTGTGGTCTGGAGGGAAGCAGGGACAATCTCCCAGATGTCTTTTCCTAATGTGATCTCAGAAAATGGGCTCACTTATGAAAACATAGGCATCTCATCTACCGGGAGAGCTCATCAGACACCCAGTTCTCTTGAGTGCTTCCTGGAAAGCTGACGAAACAGCACTTTCTGCCCAGGAGGTAAAAAGGCCTAGTTTCTCAGAAAAAAATATAAGGATTTCTGTATACACATATTGATTGTAAAACAAAACAAAACAAAACAAAAACCAGTTAGAGACACTTAGCCACTCTTACAACTTTTTTATTGTAGCACTGAGGATCAATCCCACGGCCTTGTATATGGTAGGTAAATGCTCTACCACCGAGTCACACATCCAGCCCTCAAAATCTTTTGTAAGTTTCATTCTGATGTTCCTTTTTTTGGGGTGGTGGTGGTGGTGGTACTAGGTATGGAACCCAGGGCCTTCTCACTGAATTACATACCTAGCTCTTTAAAAAAAGTTATTTTTGAGACAAGGTCTCACTGTGTTACCCAGGTTGGGCTCGAACTTATAATCCTCCTGCCTCAGCCAAAGTGCTTAGATTATAGGCATGTGCCACCCCACCCTGATGTCCCTTTTTTCTCCTTTGCTACACTTATCCTTTAAGTTGTTGAGGTCCCTCTGAAACTATCCCTCACAGATGGCAGTGACAGATGAACTTTAATACAGATAGAGACTCTCAGGCCTACTAATGTTAATTCTCTTCTGTGCAGTAGCTCGTAGCACTTTCTTTGAGCAAATCACACAGATCAGTCAGTGGTACAAAGAGTAATTAGGGCCGAATTAAGCAGCTCATTTCACTGCCTAGTCCCACCAACAAGAGACCTGTGGATATGTTGCTGTTACTTTACCAAATAGATAAATTTTGATATCAGTATTGGTCCCTGGGATGTTTTTCTCTGCCTTCTGTACATCAATAAGTTAATGGTCTGTTTCAGAGATCAGTATTTAGGGCAAGTATGCAGCTTAGGGACTTCCGTGCTCCCTTGCGTTCTGATGTTTACCTCGTGGGAGCTGGAAACCAGACACATGGGAGATCAGCCTCTAGAGAGCCTGCTGGGCAGTCACTTCCTCCTCCTGATTTTAGAGAAAGGGACTCTCATTTCTTTGGGAGGATAGCACTGCTGAACTTCCTATATATTTTGTAATCATGGGCAAATTCACTATGTTAGCTTCCTGTCACTAGGACAAAATACCTGATATACCCAAGATACGAACTTAATGGAGGAAAAGATTATTTCAGCTCACAGTTTCAGTCCATGGCTGCTTGGCCTTGTTGCTTTGGTCCTGTAGTGACACTGTACATCATGGTGGGAGTGCAGGGCAGAGGAGGTCTACTCACTTTACTGTGGCTGGAAAACAAGAAGAGAAACAGGAGGGTGCGAGGTCCCAACATCCCTTTCAATGACCTAATTTTCAATGACCCCAATGATCTAACTTCCTTCCGGACACCACTTTCTATAGGTTCTGTTACCTCCAGGTAGTGCCATACGCTGGGCACCACCACGCCTTCAATACGTGGACTTTTGGAAGACATTTGTGGTCCAAACTACATCATTCACCATCAGACATCGTTCAGTGGACTTTGGTGGTCCTCTTTGCCAACTGTAACTCACGACCCTCTCCTGAGTTCGTGGTGTTTGGGGTACACTATTAAGAGTCCTAGAGAAAGAACTGCTTTGGTACCTTATTGTCAGTCTCACGTGTGCTACATGTTGGAAGGAAGCAGAGCTGAATCTTGTGAGTACAGAGACCCTGTGGAGCTCCTGTGCCCTCTTCCTTGTGCTTGTCCTCTCCCTCCTCTGTAGCTCCTTCACTGCACCAGATGGGACAGAGACAAACAGAACAACTGAGGCTGTGAGGCATATTACGAAAAGAAGTTAAAATGAATAAATACTTCATTAAAAGACTATTTTGACTCATTTGACTCTGACTACTTCTAAGGATCTGCGATACTTTGGGCAAACCTGGCCTGCTGGAACTTGGACTTCCGCAGGCTCACACATGTGATTAGAGGAAATGTGTACAGCTCTTTAGTATATATTTATAGATTAAAAACATACAGACTTGCCTCAGTTTCATGAAATGCTTAGTGATATGGTATGTAATAAGACAAGGGGTGAAAGTTTTTCTCACAAGGAATTGCTCATCTCCAAAAAGAAGTATTTGCCTAAGTTATGTAGAATTCTCCAAGATGCTATGCATCTGTCATTGGAGAACAATAAGACTTGAAGCGATCGTAATTAAAATGTAGAAATAATTCCCTTCTATTCAGTTATTATATCTGTGAGCCAATGCGTATGGACAGAAAAACAGATTTCTGATGACCAAGTTATAGCATAAGTACTTGGAAACCACAGAATCATATGTGAGCTTTTTCTTCTTCCTCTTCCTCTTCCTCCCCGCCTCTCCTCCTCTTCTTCTTTCTTTCTTTTTCTGAGACAGTGCCTCACTATTTAGTTCAGACTGCCCTTGAATTCACTATGTAGCCCAGGCTTGTGTTGAACTCACAGTGATCTTCCTGCCTCAGCCTCCTGAGTACGCCACCACACCCAGATTACAGGTGTGCTCCACCGTACCCGGCTATGAATTTCTTAATGGATTGAGTGTATGTCCCATCCCATGTGTCAATTTTGCTCATGTTACTTTACATGTATACATGTGCAATGTTTTAGGACTCAGTGGCCTTAAGTGCTGTCAATTTTGCTCATGTTACTTTACATGTATACATGTGCAATGTTTTAGGACTCAGTGGCCTTTGAGGATGTGGCTGTGAACTTCACTCAAGAGGAGTGGGCTTTGCTGGATCTTTCCCAGAAGGAGCTGTACAGAGATGTGATGCAGGAAACCTTCATTAACTTGGCTTCTATAGGTAAGAACAAAATCATTTCCATAGATAAAGAGAACAAATGTTTTGCTCATCATTGAAGTTCTAAGATTTGCAGCATGGAAAAAGCATACTTAACAGGCTATCAGCTCATCACAGACCTAGACTCTTAATAATCTTTCCATAATTTCATATTATTCTAAAATGACTTTTCTGGATTTGCATTTTAGGGGAAAAGTGGAATGACCACAACAGTGAAGATCAGCAGAAAAACCAGGGGAGAAATCTAAGGCGAGTTTTATGTACAAAACAAGTAATATCCTTTGAGAAAATCTTAAGATATCATGTCATGAAAATTTAAAAAGCAAGTAAACAGAACAAATCCAACTACATATTTATATATTTCTAGACAAATTTTTACCTTGATTATTTTCAATGATGTAGGTATGCAGAATTTGAAAAACAATTCACTTAGAGTATTAAGCTGCATATTATGACTATCATTGTTTTGGTAATAGCTATGGTCAAACGCTCATCCAGGGCATTCATTACATACTTGCTCCATTAAAATAGTAAAAGTATAATTCTGTTACCTATTAATAATTGTGAAATATTTAATAATCAGTAGTAATTATAAAATAATAAAGAGCCACTGAAAATGCATTTCTCATATTTTACAGAGGGCATACGGTAGAGAGACTTTGTGAAAAGAAAGAAGGTCAATTTAGGGAAACCATCAGCCAGGTTCCAGACCTTAAACGGAACAAGAAAACTCTTCCTGGAGTAAAACCCTATGAGTGTAGTGTGTGTGGAAAAGTCTATATGTGTCACTCATCTCTTAATAGGCACATGAAGTCTCATAATGAATGTAAACCTTACGAGTGCCACAAATACGGAGAGAAGTTGTATGAATGTAAGGAATGTGGGAAAACATTCAGCTTTCGAAGTTCATTTCGAATACATGAAAGGACTCACACTGGAGAGAAACCCTATAAATGTAAGGAATGTGGGAAGGCTTTCAGTTGGCCCAGTTCCTTCCAGATCCATGAAAGGACTCACACTGGAGAGAAACCATATGAATGTAAGGAGTGTGGCAAAGCCTTCATTTATCACACAACTTTTCGAGGACACATGAGAATGCACACAGGAGAGAAACCGTATAAATGTAAAGAGTGTGGGAAGACCTTCAGTCATCCGAGTTCATTTCGAAACCATGAAAGAACTCACTCTGGAGAAAAACCCTATGAATGTAAACAATGTGGAAAAGCCTTTAGATATTACCAAACCTTTCAAATACATGAACGGACTCACACTGGAGAAAAACCTTATCAGTGTAAGCAGTGTGGTAAAGCTCTCAGTTGTCCCACATCTTTTCGAAGTCATGAAAGAATTCATACCGGTGAAAAACCTTATAAATGTAGAAAATGTGGCAAAGCCTTCAGTTTTCCCAGTTCCTTTCGAAAGCATGAAAGAATTCATACTGGAGAGAAACCTTATGATTGCAAGGAATGTGGAAAAGCATTCATTTCTCTTCCAAGCTACAGAAGACACATGATTATGCATACTGGAAATGGGCCTTATAAATGTAAGGAATGCGGCAAAGCCTTTGATTGTCCCAGTTCATTTCAGATTCATGAGAGAACTCACACTGGAGAGAAGCCCTATGAATGTAAGCAGTGTGGGAAAGCCTTCAGTTGTTCTAGCTCTTTTCGAATGCATGAAAGGACTCACACTGGAGAGAAACCTCATGAATGTAAACAATGTGGGAAAGCCTTCAGTTGTTCCAGTTCTGTTAGAATCCACGAAAGGACTCACACTGGCGAGAAGCCCTATGAGTGTAAACAGTGTGGGAAAGCCTTCAGTTGTTCCAGCTCATTTCGAATGCATGAAAGAATTCACACCGGAGAGAAACCCTATGAATGTAAGCAGTGTGGGAAAGCCTTCAGTTTTTCCAGTTCATTTCGAATGCATGAAAGAACCCACACTGGAGAGAAACCTTATGAGTGTAAACAGTGTGGGAAAGCCTTCAGTTGTTCCAGTTCTTTTCGAATGCATGAAAGGACCCACACCGGGGAGAAGCCCTATGAGTGTAAGCAGTGTGGGAAAGCCTTCAGTTGTTCTAGCTCCATTCGGATACATGAAAGGACTCACACTGGGGAGAAGCCCTATGAATGTCAGCAGTGTGGGAAGGCCTTTAGCTGCTCCAGTTCTGTTCGAATGCATGAGAGGACCCACACTGGAGTGAAACCCTATGAATGTGAACAGTGTCATAAAGCCTTCAGTTGCTCCCGTTCATTTCGGATCCATGAAAGAACTCACACTGGAGAGAAACCCTATGAATGTCAGCAGTGTGGTAAAGCGTTCAAGTGTTCACGTTCCTTTCGAATACATGGAAGAACTCATAATGGACAGTAGTCCTTTGAATGCAGAATACATGGTAAAGCTTTCACTTGTTCCATTACCCGGTGAAGGTGTGGAAAGACTCTTGCTGCAGAGAAATCCTGTGAACGTAAAATGTAGGCAGGACTGCGAGTGTAGCTCGGTGGTAGAGCCCTTGCCCAGTGTAATCGAGGTCCTGGGTTTGGTTCCCTAGTACTGCAACAACACGAAAAATAAAACACACAGGAAATTTTCAATTCTCCAGGTGTGAAAAGCAGAAAGAACTCAGAGTGGAGAAAGGCCTTTGTGGACCATAAGCACCATGGGAAAGTCTTCATTCATCATATATCTTTTTGAGGATGCATTGCGGATGCACATGGAGAAAAATCCCACAATATAAGGAATGTATAAAAGGCTCTAGTTATCCCTGTTTATTTGGAAAACATAAACAGACTCACCCTGGAAAGCATCTTATTCAAGGGAAGCAGTGTGGGTAAATCTTCTGTGGTCCACCATCCTGGCAAAACAAGCGAGAAGGCGCGTGGGTGGAAACTATATAAAAGCCAAAAATAATAGGAAAATTTCCACTTTGTCATACAGTCAAGTGATATCCCCTGGCATGTGAAACTTCAGACTCACATGAAGACCCCCACTAGCGAGAGAGACTATAAATGTAGAGAATATGGATGGGAAATTCACATCATGAAGAAATGTTTTAAAACTTAGTGTTCTATTAGTTGTTCATTCTTAAAGTATATCCCTGGACTACAGATTTTTATTTATTACTTTGGCCTATGAACATTGAGGTGAGATAAATCTGTAAGCTCTGGTTCAGCAGTCATACACATGTCTAATAAGTAGTGTTTTCAGTCAGTTAGTACAATTTTTCTCTTTCCTTTAGAAGTCTGTTGGATTCATGGGTTTATTGCATTGTATCTCCAACATGAAAAATTTCATATTTTTATATGGTTTTAAAATTATTCCTCAAATGAGGGACCACTGAACAATGAGAGTTTGGAAATTGTTGGACTATTCCTACTGGCTTTGTGTGGCACGTAATAGATATTCCATATGAATTATATATATATATCATTTTTTGGGTGGGGTTGGTGTTTTTGAGACAGGGTCTTGCTATGTGGTTCAGGCTGGCCTTGAACTATGTAGCCCAAGCTGGCCTCGAATTTCCGGCAGTCCTCCTACTTCAACTTCCTGAGTGCTGGGGTTACAGTGTGTGCCACCATGCCTGGGCTGTACATTCATTCATTCTGATCGCAAGAAGCTTCCTTTTGAGAAGGCAGAGGAGCCTTGTTCTGTTTTCTGTGTTAATACAGCAGACCCTTGACTTATGAACTCAGTTTGTTGCTGAGGGCTAGTTGTAACTCAAGTTGGCCAACTGAAGGTTCAGGCTCCTCTGCACAGCCTTCAAAAATGTCTCTCCTGTATATAGGCAGATCTCAGTGTCCTCAGAGAGACATTGGCCCAGGATTTCTCAGTTAACTCCACACAGGAAAGGATATTATATTGTTCCTTTCAGAATAGGGTTAAATCCATCTCTGAGACCTCTGGAAGCACAAGTGGCTGTCATTTGAGTCGCAACTCAAGACAGTTAAAACTAAAATGCTGGTCATAACCCAAGTTGCTCATATGTTAGGCTGGTCATTATGCAAGGGTCCACTGTAGGTATAAATTTGTGAGTATGCAGACTTTATCTTAGAAAGTATATTGTAGTGTAAAGAAATGTCCTAGGCCTTCATATTCAGTTAATACTCAGAGAGCAATTTCCAGTACTGCAAATTGCATTCATGGGAAGTACCCTATACAGGTCCCTCATTTTTATCTTTGTACTATATTGTCATTGTACCATTTTTAGGTTCAGATGTGTTTAATACACATACCACTGTATTATGATTGCCTACAATATTCAGTTCAGTAACATGTTGTACATGTTTATGTACTTAGGAGCAGTAGGCTATATCATACAGCTGAGGTTTAGAGTATGCTATTCCCTTTCCACTTGTGTAAGAGCCTTCTGTAAGGTCTGGCACAAAGATAAAACTGCCTAACAGTGCATTTTGCCAAACATACCCCTTCCTCAAATGCGTGTGGCTGCATTCTCAAAACTACCACTAACTGCCATGTGTTCAGAGATGTAATGATTCGTAGATAACTCCACAAATTCTACTCAGACATCTTTTGCAGTTTGGATTTTCCCATAATGTGCCCACCAGACAGTGAATTTGGACACCCAAGCTTGAGAATATCCCTGGTGTACTGATCCGCCACATCTCTAGCCTGGATTAATCTAAGGTCTTCACTTATGTAGTAAACACTTTGTTTTGTTTTTCCTTTTTGGTACCGGGGATTGAACTTGGGATCTTGCGCTTGCTAGGCAGGTGGCAGAACCACTGAGCTAAATCCCCGGGCCCACTTTGTTTTGTTAATGCTGTCAGGGATTATGTGTTTCTGATTCCTCCATGACAGCTACAGTGGTGGAGTCAGAAAGGACTACATGGGAGTTCGTTTCTCTACCGATTTGGGCAGTGAATGCACTGACCTGGTCCACAGTGTAAGAATGAGCACCTACCTTGTACCAAGCAGGTTGAAAGTGTTTCCTGTCACTGTTGAACGTGCTGTCTCAGTGTTTTCAATTTTCATTCATTGTGTGTAATTTTAAATGATGTGCATGTCCATCAAACCAACAGCTTCTGTAGATGTTTCCTAGAAATATTTAACTATTTTCAGATAATTTGTATACTATTAATCATTGTCTTCTTCATTTCCCGTAAGGGTATATTAAAAGAGTCCATCACAATTATAGATTTTCAGATTAAGTTTACAATTTTGTCAAGTTAACATTATATATTTCTGAGTTAATATTATTAATGGATGCATGTAAGATTGGGTAATGTTTTCTTTGGGAAATTTTTCTTAATATAGTTAATTTTTTTCAAAAACCAGTTTCTTATTCACCCACATCTATCTAAAACATCAGTCTTGGAATGATCACTGACAATCAATAACTGGGCAGCATCGGTAATAGGGTATTAAAAAGGACTGCTTTGGATTTGAGCTTTTATTTGATGATTTCGCTTCTATTCAATGAAGTGAGCTGATTCTCTGTATCGAGTGGTTTGAGATGAACTTAATTGTATCACTGGTAATTAAATAGTTCTTATCTAGAAAGAAGATGAGTTGAGATAAATCTAATTTGCAAGAAACTAGTAAATCATATTCATGAGTAGAAGGCCATTTTTTTTTATTGCTTGTAGATTCCGGTAACTTTTTCATGCTCACTTTCTTTTTTTCTTTTCTTTTTTGTACTAGGAATTGAACTGAGGACCTTGTGCTTGTGAGACAGGCATGGTACCTAAATTCCTGGCCCTTCACTCTCACTTGTTTTTTTTTTTTTCCCATTCTCACTTTCTTAAGGGATGAGGTCTCTGAATGTTTTCCAGGCTAGTCTTGAACTCTGGGCTCAGAGTTAATGTAAACGTATGTCCACATAAATTGCAACGCTATTCGCAATGTCCAAAAGCAGGAAATACAGCATGTGTTTATAATGGGTGAACGGATAGATAGCGTATTGTAGCTATACAATGTAATATTACTTGCCATAGAAACAAAGGAGATAGTGATACCTGTTACAATATAGATGTCCCTTGAAAAAACTATCAAGTGAATAAAGTAATTCATAAACACCAGATTATCTAATCCCCTTCATATAAAAAGTTCAGAGTAAGTCACTATCCAGATAGAAAATAGATTAGTGGTTTTCAAGGGTTTACACAAAGAAAATGGGAAAATACAGAAGTGACAGCTAATGAGTACAGGGTTTGTTAAGGATGATGAAAATGTTCTAAAATTGGTGATGATGGCAAATATAAGTGAATATGCTGAAAAGCACTTAATTGTAAAATATGTATATTATGTCTCAGCAAACAAGTTCCAATAAATAGTTTGGACCCAATTTCTTAAGAATATGATTTTCAACTTACCTCCAAATTTTACAAAGCCTTTTATTGTTTTCTTCTTATATCAGTGAGACAGAATTCAGTGTGTCACTGCCATTTACATATTCAAAGTCTGCTAGGGCAGGGCCACCTTAAATTATCAGTTATCAAAAATTGTCAAGTAGAAATTGGCTTCTAGGACTAATGTAGAGTGCTTGCCTAGTATGGGAAAGGCCATGGGTGCCATCTATAAAGAAAAGCATAACAAAAAATTTCTTCTGTGTAAACAGCCTGCCTCAGAACTTCATAAAGCAGATAATTTGTTAGTCGAGTGGGATTCAATAGGCCCAGTCTAAGCGACTCCCTCTCTTGTGAAAATGGAATTTGCAATTCTCTGCGCACACCTGCTGTGTCTGCCCCCTCCCTCTTCGAAGGAGCCAGGGAAGACGCTGTGGCCCGGTCTCCGAATAGGAAAATAGTTCTACTTAAATGTAAATATGGCGGTCAGCGGGAGCCTAATCGGCCACGTCACCTCCCTCCTCGCCGTCATTCATTCCGAGGGGGCAGGACTAACCACGGGAACTGTCCAATCAGATGCGCCACTGAACCGGAAGTAGAGGGGGCCGCTGGGCACGCGGATGTGTGGCTCCTTATGCCTTCCGGCCGTCCATTGGGAAACGTGTCGCCGCTTTAAGTCACCTTAGGTGGCTCTGGTCCGGCGTCTGTCGCGCTCTCACCTGCACGTCAGCCGAAGGGAGGACCCCAGCGGCCCTGCAACCTGGGAAATGGTGATTCCGGGGCCAGGGGTCTTGAGACTGGGGCACAGGGTCTGGTTGGAAGCGGCCACGGCGGGCCCTGGTTACCGCGCGTTCGCCCCGGGGTCCGCGGACCCCTCGGGCCGGGAGCGGGGCTGGGCTGGGCGGTGACTCGGTCTGGGCCGGAGCCCTCCGTGCGGCGGCGGCGGCGGGAGGTCACGAGGGACCTCAACGCGGGGGCAGGGTTGGTGCCCTGCAAAGTCGTGGTCTTGGACGTCCCCAGGACTTCCTTTCTCATTGGAGCCTGTTTTTTTGTGAATCTTACGTTTAAGGGAAACAGCTCCAAGTTTACGACCCATTTTCTCCAGCTTACCTCTTACTAGGCTGATGATGAATCTCTAAATTTCGGGATCTCTCTCGCCGTATTCCCAAACTCCAAATTCTCTGCAGTTCATACCATTATCAACCATACGACCGTCACTCAGTAGGTCAAACGCACGCAGTGTACTTTGGTTTATGTTTTTGTTTTTTCTGCCCTGGGGTTGGGGCGCAGAGCCTTGTGCGTGCTAGGCAAGCTCTTGTACCCCTGACCTACACATCCAGCCTCGCACGCAGTATTTTGATTGTCAACTCCTCTCCCCCGCAGAAGTGCTGGCTTTAAAAAAAGCCAGGCAAGCCGGGCGTGGTGGTGCAGGCCTATAATCCCAGCACTCGGGAGGCTGAGGCAGGAGGATCGCCGTGAGTTCGAGACCAGCCTGGGCTACATAGTGAGTTCCAGGTCAGTCTCAACTACATAGTGAGACCCTGCCTCAAAAAAACAAAACAAAACAAAAAGCATGGTAGTGCAGGTTTGTAATCCCAGTACCTGAGAGGCTGAGACCCGGAATCTGAGCTAGAGACCAGCCTGGGCTGCATAGTGAGTTGAAGGCGGGCCTGGGTTACAAAACTCTGTCTCAAAAAAGCAAGCAAAAACCCAACCATTTAAAATACATGTAGGTGCCCCCCCTCGTGCTGAGGATCAAACCTAGGGCCTCTCAGTGCTGGCTGGGCAAGTACTCTCTCTGCGAGCCACACACAGCTTTATTAGTGGGCTTTTCACCTGAGAGTAAAGCAGAGAACAACTCAATGAACTTGTTGGTAGACAAGGTCTGCTTTGTATATATCTAGATTCCAAGTCCGCTCTGGCCCTTCCTGTCACCTTGAAAGGGTTTTTTCCATTTACTTCAGCTTCCGATTTTCATTATCTGTAAAACGTATGATATCAGTACAGCTTTAAGGGGAGCAAGCAGATTACAGGAAAAGTTACTTTTACATCCCATTTAAGATATATAGAGATGTATCTCTATATATCTCTATATATTTATATTTATCTGTCTATCTATCTCAGTACCTTGGATTAAACCCAGGGGCTTTGCATTGAGCTACAGCCCAGCCCTTGTTATTTTTTATTTTGAGAGGATTTTGCCAGATCTGTAAGTTGCCCAGGCTGGAACTTGTGAACCTCTTGCTGCAACCTTTCAGAATGTTGAGATTATAGGCATGTGATGTGTAGTAAGTTTCTCAGGTTTGTTCTTTTCATTCGTGTGGCTTTTTTTTTTTTTTTTTTTTTAAAGACAAGAGTCTCGCTATGTAGTTCAGGCTGGCCTTGAACTCACTTTGTAGCCCAGGTAGGTCAACTTGCGGTAATCTTGCCTCCCCCAGTGCTAGGATTATAGGTGTGTGCCACGGTGTCTGGCTCATTTGTGTGATTAGAAGTGGAATTCCAGGGCTTAGCCTGGAGAATGCTATAAGGGAAAGAATTAAAGGAAAATCTCTTTTCCATGATAACCATAGAAAAATAAGTACATTTCCCTAGAAATATAGTAAAATAGATTGGTCAATTACAAACACTCACCAGTCACTGGTTCTGTTTCTTTGCTGGGTGGAGAATTTGTGATAATGCATAATTCTGTTTCCCTTTACCTAGACATATGGATTCATAGTAAGTCATATGGGACAGGGCTTGGCAACACCTAAAAGTGTTCAAATATGATTAATGTTTACTAAGCGATTTATCATAGATAATGAAATGACATCTTTATTGTCTGAGTTACATAGATGCTCATGCTTTTAGGGTTTGCTAGTAAATATACTTTCCATGTGTATACAAAAATGCTGAGTTTGGGTGATTTTGCTGGATTCTTCAAATACTGAGTGTTTTCTGTTTTAAAAGTAACCGAATGAAGCTGGGCATGGTGGTACACACCTGTCATCCCAGCACTGTGGGAGGCTGAGGATTCTAAGTTTGAACCCAGCCTGGACAACTTAGTGAGACTCTATCTCAAAATGAAACATTAAAAAGGACGGGGGGGAGAT